ACATACGTACATACATACATCCATCTACCATCGGGAAGCGGCAGATGCCGACTTCGCGCTCGCATAATGTGCGAATTGTTTTGTCGCGGAATGCCGTCTCAAGGAGTGCCGGGTATGCGTGGCGAAGAAAAAGCAACCGCAAGCTTGGTAAAGAAGCCGGAGAAGCGTCAAGTAAAGCAGGATCCAGCCATGCTTCCAGACTTTCCCGTAAAGCTGCAACGTTCGGTGCGAGTGCTGAAAATACATCTAAAGTATATAAGGCCGCCCGCCACTAAAGCATCGGCAACATCATCTGGCACGGAGCCTGCTCGAAGCACCTCACGAAAGTCGTCTCCCATGACCTGCCAGTGCAAAGCTAAATGAGTGCAAGAAGTTGAATGCAAGAAGCGAAGAAGACAGGCGCATGAGGTGCAAGCACGCCTTTTTGTAAACGTGAGTGTGGTATGTAGGCAGCTAAGTCGAGCGAAGCAGAATTGAAGGCAGACCGCTGAAAGCAAGCTGGCACGAAAGCCTGAAAGTAAAGGTCCAGGGTAGGATCTCCAGGTTAGCNNGAGCTCTTTTACAGTGGGCTGCGGCGATCATCATAGTCATGGTCGCTGCTACGGGCAACATGTGATTGCGAATGAAACCAAGCTGTAACATGCATGACATGCAACTGGAAAATCAATTCAAACGTTTTGGGATTTCAACACCCCCCCTCGCCGGGTGCTCTTCGAGCACGTAGGCGTCGCTTGCGTGGAAGCGATGCAATGCAAGAAACGAAATCCTACGATCGACCGACGAAAGGTTGCCCCCCGTTTTGCAGTGTCGCCGCGTGGTTTGATTGAAGCGAACTACGGACAAACTACTATGTCCGTAGCTGGTTCGTTGCGACCGCTAAGCAAATCCTTACGACTGCGGCAAAAGCGTGCAGGCTACTTGTTACACATCAGCAAGGGTTTCATCAACTCACTTACGGAGGACCAAAGCCATGCTGGGAGTATCAAAGCAAAAAGTAAATGCGACACAATTCACGTAAACCGAGTTGGGGTGCAAGTGTGAACAGTGTATAGGTGGAAAGTTGTTGTGGGTTAGGATGATGCTTCAGCTACCCCCCCTGAACCCATACTGTCACACGTGCAATATGATATAATACAGAAACAAGAATGCGCATCAAACTAACAACGTGAAAACAAACAACAAGTCGGCCGTGGGTTTCCCCTTGCAATCGATGTGTTTGTTGCGCTGGATTGATCCAGTCACTTAAACACCGGGAAGAAGTCCGGCTTGATGCGTCTTGTGATGAAAGATAAAACAACTGCCTCTCAGCGCTTGCCTTTGGACTTGCCCTTCGCCTGGCCCTGGCCTTTGCCCTTTTGGCGCTCCCTGTTGTAGCGCGCCAGCTCCATCTGCTCATCGTGAGCGGCAATCATCCGATCCATGTTGGCTCGGAGCCAGTCAAAGTGGTAGCACTTGAACTGCGTGATGTCCTGGACCGGCGGAATCCTCCAGCTGCCTTGGAACGTGATGAGGGTTGACGTGATCCTTGGCTGATGGAACAGGAGCTCAGCGAAGTTCTTGATGTTGAAGAAAGTCCCGCCAAAGCCAATGCAGACATTCGGATCAGCTGCATCGGAATAGACTCCGTAGAAGAACACGGTCCTCGCCGGGTTGTCCTCGGCCGTCTCTCTCATCGGCGTCTCGCTGGGACAATTGCATGCGTCAGGCAGTCCCATATCTTGATGTTGGCGTTCGTCTGTCCGTCGGCCAACATATTCGCAGCGAACACCGGATTCCTTGTCGCACGCTCCTTTGCACAAACCAGATGGTTCCTTGCCGTCCTTGCCCTCTCCAAGGTAGCAGCCTCCGGGCTCCGCGGCAGCTTTCCGGTGACATCTTTGTCAAATCTGCGAACCTTGTGTTCGTGGTTGTGCAGATGTCCCGGAGGAGATTCTTCCTTGACATGGCGCGGAACCTCATGCTGGATGAGGAGACATGTGCCGTCCATCGAAGTCTTCGATTGCAGCCGAAACAGACGTGCTGGCCCACGAACACCACCGTATTGCATTTCTCGCAGTCATACGTCTGGCTTCGGGTGGCGAGGCTGCCTTTGGATGTTGGGTGTGCTTCTCTCCGGCATTGGCTTGGGCGGAGAGGCTGAGGCCCGGGGTTTCGTGCTGCAAACCGTGGAGAGCGTTCTGGCCACCTTGGCTGGGGGCTCAGCGATTGTCTCCATGGCGTCGTCGACATCCGTCTCCTCCACGTTGGGTTGGTTGTTGTAGCACAGGTATGCCTCCGGAGATGTCGCCGCCATGTCCTTGCCAAGCTGCGTCAACTCGACCGGGTCAGTGCTCCATACGGTTTCATCAGTTGTCGTGTCTATGACACCCAAGACTGCTCGAGGATGCGCGCGATCAACTGTTAGAATGCCGTGACTCACCATCCTAAAGAAGAGTGCGCCAAAATACATGGCGATTTCTGTGTCCGCGATGAGTTCGAATTTGGCAGCCGCCCTGACCCCGGACTTGTACTTCATGTCTTCTAGGGGTTTGTCCACGACGTAGACGTGGGCCTTGCCCGACTCTACTACTTCCGGTCCGCCTCCGACGAAGAAGCCCTGCTCAATGATTGCCATGGCCGAAATCCTCCCCGTGCTGTGATACAGGCGTTTGGGGAATTCACCTCGCGTCTCGAGCGGCTTGTCTGGTCCTTCTCACCGTTCGGCAAAGCGGCCTCGGCCTTGGGTCAAAGAATGACACCGCCGTCGCAGTAGCCAACTCGGGGTTGTTGTCGACGGCTGTCTTGCCGTGACCTTGGTTTGCACGAATCTGATAGGGCCAGACCGGGAGCTTGAGATACTTGTTGTGAGGAATGTTCGGCCCCCTGATGGCAAATCGCTCCTTTCTGTCGAACTTGAAGACGTCGATGACCTCAGCACGGGACCACTCCTCTTTTGTGTTGGTCCGCAGGTAATTGATCACGTCGTCAATATGGTCAGGTAGTGCCTCCTCTGATGATTCCTGAGAATCGCTTCAGCTCATGGAAGGCAACGCATCTGTTCTGGACTTTTGGCCATCCGTCGGGCGGGGCCTCGTAGAGGGGGCAGCGGTCCCAGAGAGTCAATCGCAAAGTCAACATCGACCTCTCTGCGAACGCTTGTTCTGGTCCGGCTCGGGGTCTCCCCCGGCACTCAAGGCGCTTGGCTCCTCTTCTGGCCGCTCTCGACAGATAGAAGTCCTCGATGGCATTGAGCTCGGGTAGGGTAGGGCATTGTTGGCCTCTTCTTGCGCGATGGAGGGACGCTCACCTGCGGCTCTGTTGCTTTCTCTTGCTGCCGAGAGGCCCGCGATCTGCTTGGAATGAATCTGCTCCACCAAGTCCGTGTTTTGGCCATGGGTGAAGTAATCATCCAGGTTGAACGGAAACGTTTCGGCAAGCCTTTTCAGGCTGCAATAATACCGCACGGTTGTCGCCTCCAGCAGGAAAATTTGCACTTCCCTAGCAAAGTAGGGTCCCATCGTAGTGGTCCTTGAACTCGGCACGGTCGAGCAGTTGTTTTATGTCGAGCGTGTGCACACTGAGCCGTCTTGCCTCGCCTGCGAAGTACTCGTTCAGGTCGTTGAATGCAGCAGGGAGGTGATAGACCGGTGCATTGTTTCCAAGCACAATACTGACGAAGCCAGAGCGTGGACGATTTCTGATGCCTGCGAGGACCCTGAGTGCCCGCTGGGTGCCACTGGCAATCTCGCGGATGTCGCCCTGGGCTCCATGCGCCTCGTCCCACGACTCATCTGGCATGTTTCTCGACAGTATGGGTCTGGATTGGCCTACCAGTTCGTTGCCCGACCCGACCACACCACCATGACATCGATGGCGGCAAAAGGTTTCCCGTTGCATCCACGAGCTCGTCCATGATGGCCTCGACTCTGCCGACCAACGCCCTCCCCATTTATCCTCCATGCGGACTTCTCCGTATCCTGGCTGGACCATGTGGGACAAGTACGCCTGGAAGGTGTCGGAGCGGCTGGTATGCTTCGGGTAGCGCTTGTTGCCGGAAACCGTCGTGAGGGTACTATCTGAGACGAGGATGATTGCTCGCTCCCCAACTTCACCTCAGTCTGGAGCAGCAGTTTGCGCTCTGTTCAATCCTGCGTTGGAGATGCTGGCAAGGGTGTTGAGGGCAGGCAGAGACCTTGAGCGTGACTCACGCGATCCGTCCAGTAGGAGTTTTGGAGTCACTGCCTGGTACAACTTGAGGAGGGTGTTGCCGTCTCCATCTTGGGCCCCCAAGTTGTTGGTCTCCGCCGCCAGTCCGGCCGTAATCAGCTGGCTCCTCCAGACATACTCTTCGTTGATGATCTCCAGCGGCTACCCCCCATCAGAAATCCCTCCAGGCATGATCAACGTTGACGCCAGGAGTGTCCACAACCATCAGAACTTGTATGTGGCGCCCGACACAGGCGTACCTGGCAGGATTCTGGAAGCCGAGGCAGATCGGCGACATGACGCCGTCATGATGAGGCAAGAGGAGCAGTCGGCAGCCGTACTTCGGGAAACCGAGAGTTGAGCAGAGCATTATCTTCAGAATGAGATGTCTGCGGCAGCTCTGCTAACCTGCAAGCAGTCAGAGGGCAACTCAGACAAGAGCTAACGAGCCAAACCGGGGAACTTCGGGAAAGCAAGCTTAGGCTCGCTAGGTAGCGGCATTTTCTTTAACAACCAGCGGCCTGCCACTTTCGCACGTTTCCTTCTCACACTTCTCCCGGTAGGTGCCGGTTTCGCGCTCTTGGTGCATGTATCCCGGCAGCTTTCCACGGAACATCCTGAAAACTGTTCATCAAATTTGGTCCTGCGTGGATGCGTAGGTCACATGTTGCGGCAAGCCCGACAAGGTGCATCGGAACCCACGGAAAATGTTGTAAAAACCAGCCTCTCCTGGAATTGAATTTTGCTGAAGCCCGGAACACAAGAAGTTGGAGCAGAGAAAATTCTCCTGAAACCCAATTTGCTGGGCGCCCGCCGTTGCAGGTCTAGGTCAGCTGGATTAGGGCCCACAAGCCTGAAAATGGGAAAATGTGTGCGATGCTTGTGCATTATGAACCCTATCTTCCAGTTGATGTCCGGTGTTTTTACTTGTGATTCTCAATTAATGTAAGCCCATTGAACCTTGGACGGAAGTATTCCGCGCAAGCTGTCAGAGTTTTGACCTGCTGAGCAAGAGTTGACGCCGCATGTAGAAGCCAGCGTGTCAGTATTATGTCAGCGTTTCAGACCTTTGTGTAGCACAGGAGCATCCTCATAGATGTGCCCACAACTACCCACAGCTAAGCGACTATCGTCAATGAACCTTGAACCGTAACCTTAAATCTGTTTGTCCAATCTAAATCTGTTTGTCCAATCAACATCCCTAAAAACAACCTAATAATTATGAAGCATCTTCTAAACTCTTTACAAAGGTTTATGCACAGGTCCTACTATGGCGCCTCTGAAAAGGAAGATGAGGAATTTTACTAGACTTCATAGAATCCCTACACCTTGGACCTGCACCTCAAACTCAGGCACACGTTGTCCGGCTTCCTTTCAGTAGATGCGCTGCGCGCGGCTCACCGCGCTGCCGGTCAAGCTCAGAAGGATTGCGGCGACGAGAAGGCCATCATGTCCCAGCACCATGGCGTGAGGGTTTCGGGTTGCGGGTTGAAGGAGGGAGTAGCATTCAGGGTCAAGGTTGTGGATGTAGGGCTTGGGGTTCAGGGCCGATGCTTTTTGACATTTCTTCGACGCGCACAAGCTTCGGGGTAGCAGCGAGCACCGTGAAAGCAGCAGTGACGACGACGGCCGCGACGGTGACGGCTACGGTGATGGCCAAGGCGTCGCAAACGCCGCACGTTTAGGAGACCAGGATGGTCGAAATTCAGGGGTTGAGTGCCGGGACTCATATTTTGGGGAAGTTGATTCCCAGAATTCTTAAGCCTCACAAGCTCAGCAGCGCGAATGCTTCGAGTGTGCCTTTGACCTCATCTTCCCGCGTGGTACGTGGAAATTCAAAATCGGGTCATTCTTGAAAACTACCATTCGACTCTTGCGTCCTGCTGCAGCACTGCAATCCTAAAGAAGGAACCACTTCAAATTTCGAAAATTTTTACCCTTACAGGAAGATTTAAACCTTAAACTCTAACCAGAAGACCTTCTGCGCTGACGCGCGATGCAATGAGTTTCAAATTAGTCAAGGCACACTGGGTAGCGCGTGGCAGACGTAAAGCCCTGAAACCTAAACCTTAACCCTAAACCCTGAACCCTGAACCCTAAATGCTAGCCGAAAAGCCTGCAGACACATTCTTTCAGCTAAGGCAAGCTTTGCAAGGGGCCGGCACACGGCGCCGATCCAGCTGCCCGCCTCACCCAAAGCGGCCTTCACTGCGTGGGCACTCGGAAGGTGAGCGTAGTGTTCAAAGCGTCCCTAGGCTAAGCCTTGAATGCAAAACTTTAGAGCATTACCCTAAAGATCCTAATCCCAACAGCCTTAGACCTAAGCTCAAAGCCTTGAATCTTGTGGAATCCTAAGCCCAAATCCTTATATCCTCAATGCTAAATGTCAAGCACATGCCCTACTGCGCCGAGAAGCCCTTACAGGGACGCTCGGGAACGAGAGCCAACATCATATTCCCCGGCAGCTGGCTGGAGCTCTGAGTTTAGGGCGTTTGGTTAGGGTTTTAGAGTTTTAGGGTTTATGGTTTTAGGGTTTTGGCTTTCAGGGTTTAGGTTTTTTGGGTCTAGGCTTTCCGGGTTTTAGGGTTGTGGGGCTGGGTCTAGGGGCGTATGTCTGCATAAGAAACCTCCAGGGTTTCCCGTCACAAGCCCTGACGGTGTTGAAGACGCATCGGGCCCCAAATCCCTATTCTGAGCCACGCATTACGGGTTTAGGGTACACGGTCAAGGGGTCTTTTGGAGTTCAGACTTTTGCTCATATGATCCGCTACTGCATACAATCAATCAAGCGTGTCAATCGAGCTATGGACTGCAGTCATGGTTGGAGGAGATCTGCAGGGGATGCCAACGGGCTATAGGGGAACCTGTTAGGGCTAGATTCCAAACCGTACAGGTCTCTTGCTGGGCTATCCATAGTAGGGCCTTCACTATTTTTGGGGTAACAATGGGGCCCTCACTGTTGGAAATACACATATCTCTTCTTCTGGCCAAGCATGCCTTCTGATGAGGTGGGCGCCTGGTGAGACTAGTGGAGGGGCACTCGCACAGTCAGGCAGCCAAGTCCGGTACGGGACGCTGGGCGCCGGTGATGGCAATTCGTCACCCTGAGGGCCGTTTCTGGCTCTGGTTTCTATCGGCTGAGAGGAGAAAAACATGAACAAGAATATGGAAGCTGGAGAAGTTTAGGGAAGGGTTTAGGGTCTACAGGGAGGTTTAGGGTTTAGGGTCTGCATACCACGATGTTTTAGTGTCCATTTTCTTTCTGGCTATGTATGGAAAAGCAGCTAATGTTATTGCATTGTGGGACACGGCAAACATGGGGACCCCAAAAGGGAATCCCAAGAATACAGTAGGAATACAATTTAAGAACAAGAACACCGGTAGGTATTTCCCATTAACAACCCCAAACCCTAAACCCCAAACCCTAAACTCTAAACCATCAAGCCGACCATCCTCCAGCGCATGTACGAGCGGAGCATCGACTGCTGTGCTGTTCAGCCACATGTTCTCGTTCTGCAAACAGTAGCTGCCACCGTTTTCATGCTTGCAACTTCGCACCGCATCTTGCTGGCTTGCCGTGAAGAAGTTAAAATTGAATCAACATACCATGAATCCCAGTTCTGGTAACCCCTTGTACGTTGTAAATGGGAGTCTCCAGAAATAGGGGGACCCCAATATAGACCGGATATAGTAGAATCCTGATTATGCGAATCTCCAAAAAAGAGCCCCTAATTTCTGGAAACCTCCAAATTGCTTCACAGCACACCATCTTGCGGGCAGGACCGGCTAAAGCAACCTGCAGTCTTCGCTTGTC